TAACAATCACTTGGGGAACTTTAAAAAACATCCCAAAGTTTATGCCTATTCTAGAAGCTTGGATACTGAGATGAGATGACCAAGTTATCCCCAAGTCTACAAGGTAATCCCTGCCCACTTCCAGCCCCTCCTCCCTCTCACGCACTTTCCCAATACTTATTAATTACAATGGGAAAAATAACACCTTTAGAATAATCTGGCAAATGCCACCTTAACCAAATGTTCAAGGATAACAACACAAGTATTAAGAATATAAACTTCTTGTACCCCGATATGGTGAATTGACAACGAGCATATCACCTCTGTTACTCTTGCCAAAAATGCATTACTTCAAATTTAATCATAACAAAATATCAGACAAACTCAAATCAAAGGGTATTCTTCAAAATACTTGACCAGTGCTTTTCAAAAGAGTTAAGGTCATGAAAGACAAGGAAAGGAACTTGCCAAGGACTGGAGTAAACTAAGGAGCCATGACAACTACATGTAATGGAGGATCCTGAATTGGATACGGGCACAGAGAAAGGACACGGTTGTGTTCCAATAAAACTTTATTTATTGACATTGAAATTTAAATTTCACATAATTTTCATGTGCCATGGAATATTCTTCTCTTAATTCTTTCCCAACCATTAAAAATATTAGATCATTTTTTTATGGAAAAAGTTGTGAAATTGGTAGAATCTATAATTTAGTGATGTACCAATATTAATTTCTCAGCATTATTGGTTGAACCATGGTGTGTGACAATAACATTAGAGGAAGCTAAGTGAAGGGTATGTGGAAACTGTATTGTTTTTGCAACTTTTCTGAAATTTAAAATTTTTTTGAAAATAAAAAGAAAAAAAAAAAACACAACAAAAAACCTCTCTGGGTCCCTCCAGCTAAGGCCTTCCTTCTCTGTTTTCCTCCAGGGGAAAATTCCTTGAAAAATATGTCCACACACACTATTTCTACCCCTTCACCTCCCATTTGCTCTACCAAAACCACTCTGGACATTGTCACCAATGGCACCCAAGTTGGCAAATTCATGGGATCTTTCCAGACCTCATCTTATGTGACCTTTCAGGGCATGTGACTCAGCCAACCACTACCTCCTTCTTGAAACACTTCAGCTTCCAAAACACAAAACTCTGTGGGTTTTCTTTGAATACCTGCAGCTCTACCTTCTCATTCCAACATCTAAATGTTGAAATTCCTTAGCTTCAGTCCTTGGGTCTTCTTTTCTTCCTTCTGTACATTTTTGCCCCAGGCAATCTTATTCATATCTCTGGCCTCAAATACCATCTATCTGCCAGTGATTCCTAAATTTATATCTATCTCTATGCTAGACCTCTCTGCAGAGCTCCAGACTCATATATCCACATAGCTACTTAATATTGGCTTGGATGTCTCAAAATCTTCACTCTGATAATATGCTCTTCCCTTTGACTCACCCCTCTCATTAAATGATACCACCATCCTCTTACATCCACCTAGTTGCTCATGCTAAAAAACTTCAGTGTCATTTCAGGGGCCCCCTTTTCCTCACCCAGCAAATCCAATCCTTTATGATGACCAAAATACATATCCAGAAACATTCCATTCCTTGCCACATCTACTGCACCCATTGCCATCCTTTGCCCATACTACAGTGATAACCTCCCAACTGATCTCCCTGTATCCTTTCTTGCTTCCTCCAGCCTAGGCTCCAAACACTAACTGCAGTGGCCTTTTGAAAATCATATTCCATTATATCATTCTCCTGTTTACATTCCTTCCATTGCTTCAGACTTCACACAGGAAAAACTCCAAAAATATTAATAAGGCCTTCCATACACTTCATGGTTGTGTCTCTGCCTCCCTCCCTAACCTCATCTCTCGCTCACTGTGTTATGGCCCCACGGGCTTTCTCTCAACCCCTAACATACATAGACGCTTTGCCTGCCTTGGGACTTGGCATCTGCATCTTCCTAAAATTTTCTCCCCCACCCTTCCTCCTCCAACAGTTCCCTTGTGAAATAGTCAGGATAGGCTAGATTTTTCTTTGGTAGCAAACAACCCCAACATCTTGGTAGTTTATATCTGAGGTTTATTTATTGTTCACATCACAGTCTGATGTAGGTCAGGGGGCTCTTCTTCTGGTGGCACCCCCATATTCAAAACATGGCCTTTGTAGTTGCTGTGGGAAGAGAAGAAAACGTAAGTGACTATGCAGGGGGTTCTCTGGCCAGGCCTGGAAATGGCTCACATCATGTCTGCCCGCACCCCGTTGGCCAGATCACAGGCACATGACCCTCACCTAACTGCAAAGGGGAAAAAAAAGTAGTTTTCCTGTGTGTCCAGGAAGAGGAAATGAGATTGGTGAGCAGCAGACCAGTTCCTGCCACATCCTGGTTAAAACCTACTCATCTTTAAAGAATCAGCTTAAATAATACTTCCTTATTAAGGCCTTCAGGTTCCTCCAACCTAAATCAGCCCCCCCCACCATTATATTTTATTGTAGCAGCCTTTTGTTTTCCTTTACAGCATGATCACTATGGAAAATTTACATTTCTTTATGTGATTACTTAATATTTATTTCCATTTCTAGACTGTAGGCTCTATGAGAGCAAGGATTACATCTGTTTTGCTTCCACTGTGTTTCTAGTGTCTTTCACAATACTTGGTATATAGCTGGTGCAAAAGTTGTTGAGTGAACAAATGAACAATTGTATACAGTCATTCCCTGGTTCCAAATAGCACACTACTTATGCAGGAGAAAAGCAAGTGAGTCGACAGTCATGGTTTAGTGGGATAAATGTTCCAGACAGGTAAGCCTAGGTTGCTCAGGCAACCTGGAGGGGCTGTCAAGCCTTCTCTGCTTTCTCTTCCACAGCAGTCTAATCTAGGAGTCTGCAAACTATGGCCTGCAGGCCAAATCTGGTTACTGCCTGCTTTTTATAGCCCAAGAACTAAGAATGGCTTTTATATTTTTAAATGGTTGAAAGGAATTACAAGGAGAAGAACATACTTTATTATATGAAAATTATGTGAAATTTAACTGCAATGTCCATAAATAAAAATTTATTGGAACACAGCCATACCCATTAGTTTACTTATTGTCTATGGCTGCTTTCACACTACAATAGCAGAGTTGAGTAGCTGTGAAAGAGACCACTTGGCCTGCAAGGCCTAAAATATTTATTGCTTGATCCTCTACAGAGAGTGTTTGATCTTTGACCTAATCCATGCTTAGTTTAAAAGGTCACTTCTATGTGAAATACATCCAAATGCCCATCTTTAATCTTCCCCCTTTCCCATTCTCAGGTCCACTGCCAGAAATTAGGCCCCCGTAAATTCTGTGAAAATCAAAAAAAGGAAACCTCACCAAAGTGGAGTCAGGAGGTGAGAAGGGGGAGCCTACTATTCCACAGCAATTAGGGGGGAAAATTGGCAATTACCGACTCCAATAGGTGAATAGACAAGAGGAAAGAACCCTCAGTTACAGGCTCCAACAGGGAAAGATGTACATTGCCTCTCCTACATGAAATTGACTACCCATGCAACTCAGCCAATGAGAAACCATCATCCCCCTGAACTCTTGCTTTTCTCCAATGAACTTTCCTTCAAAACAACCCCGGCCAACTTCCTCCTTCTCTATTAAAAAACATTCCTCTCCTTTGTTTATTGGAGTTGCCTATAGTTTTACCACAGCTTGTGCATCCGAAGTTGTAATTCTTTGCTATTCCTGAATAAACTCCTTTTGCTTGTAAAAGTTTACCGCGTAGTTCCCGATAGTTCTCAGGTTAACAGTTCTATCTTTCCAACGGTATTCTCGCCCTGTTAGCTTTCTCCTCTCCTAAGTCCATCCTTCTCACTGTAACTGAAGCTAACTTCCAAAAGAACAGCTTTGATATTGTAACTACTCTTTGGGACTCCCCAACCTGTACTAACTAAAACCTGCACTGTTTAGTATGGTAGTCAGTGTTCTCCATTGTCTGACAGCACCTTACCTTTTTAGCTCTCTCTCTCTTAGGTCATGCTTCCATCCAGTCTTATTAATCATTTAACCCACCCTTGCCTTCTCTACCTCTAGGCTATGCTCACAGTTACCATTTCTGCATGAAAGATCTGCTGCTGATATTTCTATCTTACCCATCCTTTAAGTTGGTTATCTCAAATTCCTCCTTGCCCTAGAAGCCTTTCCCAGGTCCCCTACCGAGAATAATTATTGTCATCTGTGTCATTCTGTTTGTGTTTTTTCCCCCAAATTCTGCTTTATATTTCCTGTGTGTATACAAATTGTTTCTCACGTTTGTATTGAAAGCTGTTTAGGGGCAGGGATTGTATTGTATTTTATTACTCTCTGTATCCATTTGGTGCCTTGTATGTATCTTGTACAAAATGGAAATACCTATCCTTTGCAAACGTCCTCATGGCGAGCTGGGATTGCGAATTTTTGCAATGTCTAAGAACCCCCTGCACTTACGCACAAATTCCACTTAACTGGTATAGAGCACGCTAGCTCAAGTAACACCTTCCTAAGACACGCCGTCTTCCAGCTGGGCACACCCCTGTGGTTCGCCGGCTGGGACCCTCAGACGTCCGCAAACACGTGTGTGAGAAGCGCTTCCCTTCAGGCCCCTCCTCTGTCCACGGTGATTGGCGGACCAAACATTCCAATCAGCCATCCCCGCCTCTTTCAGCAATAGCCAATCACAGACTCCAAGTCCTCCTGACTACTAGACACTGTTTACTAACAGATCGAAGCTGGGGAATAAGGGGTGTGACCGTTCTGGGTAGGTCAGGGAAGGGAAGGTCCTGAATGCGCGTGCGCACCAGCGGGAATGGGCGGGGCAGAATCTCAGTTCTCACCAATCGGAGCGGTAGCGTTTCTCCCTCTCCTGCCTCCCCGCCAAGCAACAACAATTCGAGGAGCGGGGCGGGGCGGCCCCTGAAGCGTCAGAGAGGACTGCCCAATGAGAGCCGGCGTTGACAGATGCGCGCGCCCTGTGCCCAATAAGCGATAGCGGCTAGAATGGCTCCTCTACCTTGCTGACTGTGGGCGGAGCGGCCCGAAGGAGGAGGCGGCGGAACAGGGGGCGGTTTGGTTGCGCGGTACTAGCGGTGCCCGCCGAAGGGGGAGGAGGCGGAGGAGCGAGCGGTGCGGCCAGAGCGGGAAAGAGACTCGTCGCTGCGTCCGAGTTCTGGAGCTGCCGCACCCCGGCTCCTGGGTCTGCAGCGGGACCTCTGAGGGGCCGGGCGTCCGCTGTCTCCTGGATCCCCGCGTAGGACCCCGCGGGATCGGAAAAGGGAGAAGATGGAGGAGGGCGGCAGCGGCGGCGGCGCCGCGGGGACCAGCGGGGACGGCGGCACCGGGGGAGAGCAGCTCCTCACTGTCAAGCACGAGCTGCGGACGGGTGAGCGACCTCGCCCTCTGGCGGCCGGGCCCGGCGCGGGGGCGCGCCCCGAGGGCACGCGGGTGCCTGCGCGGGCTGGGGGCGCGGGGCCGGGAAGTGGGCGCGGGGGGCGGGCCCGGGGCGGGGCCTCGCGGGCGGGGCTGAAGCCCGGGGGTACCTGGCGGTGGGGGCGCACCCGGGGGGCGCGGGCCGAAAGTTTTCCCGAGCCCGGGAAGGCGCTGCGGGTGCAGGGCGTTGGGGCCCGCGAAGCGGCGGACAGCTGCCTGTTGGCACTAGTCTCTGAGGATGTCTTCGCGCCCCCTTCCCGCACAGGTGACTGATCGGTCACTGCATCCTGTCCGGGGCGAAAGGTGCGCCTGCCTCTGTGTGGGGTGAACGACGCTTTGTTTTGGAGCCTGACTCGCTTCTCCTCCACTCCTCTGCTTCCCTAGAGGTGGTCCCGGTGGGGGTTTGTGGAACCATCCCCTGAGGTGCCAGGGTCCTGTACGAGCTCAAGGGGTGGCTGTCCCCAAGGCTTTTCATGAGTCGGGTCTGTAGTGAGGCAGAGAGGGATCGCGGGCTCAGGGTCTGAGCGCTTTTATTTGCAATTATCATGAAATACTATACTTGGCCTTGAATTCTTTCAGAGGTCTTTTGAGAAGGCTCTGTAAATGTAAAGCTCTAAGTAAAAGCGGCTAAACCAGTCCGCTTAAGCGCTCACGTTCTAATGTTCTAACGTTTGAGATCACTAGAGTTGCTCCAAGCTTTATACTTGTTAGATTACTTTATTCGTTGTGTGGGTCCGAGTTGTTCATTTTGGAAAATGTTTATTTGGACTAATCAGTACAGTTTGGGTTTAGATTTGTGGAGCCCAGTCTGGTATTAGAGATATTTTTTCATTTCTGGACAATACATTTTAATACATTTAAAGAGTTCATTATTACTATTCAGTGTTCGTGTGAGCATTTATTAAGGTTTATGATTCAGCTTGTTTGGCATATAGAGATACTCTTTTATTATGTAGAAACAGAGCTTATGCAGCAGATTTCAGGTGTATGCCAAGTACACCTTGTTACCGTTTTGAACAGATTGTAAAGTTAGATCTGTCACCTGTTCTTTTCGTTTTTATTTCTAATGAGATGGCTGGTTAGCATTCCACCGAGTGCCTGTGTGGTGAGTTAATTTAAGAGGGTTGTCAAATGCGTGTTTACTCATTTCAACGTTTTTTTTTTTTTTTGGTCGTTGTGAATTTCTTACGTATCTTGAACTAGTTACCCCATAATCTTTTGAGTTCCTAACATAATCTGTGTGGGTTTGGTTGGTTTTTTTCTCTTTTCATTTAGTAGACAACTTACGTTTTCAGAAGGCCATTAAGTCATTTTTTTTTTCAGTAAACACTTATTCAGTATTAATATCTGATTTGTGCCAGGCTCAGTGTCAGGTGCTCTCTGCTGTGGAGATACTGAATTTCTTTTTTAAAAATCTTATGTAACACTTCACTGATTTATATAGGTAGAATTATGCTGTATCACACAAAAGCTACTTGAAGTCATATGCTCCTCAGCCCCTGGCCATGGTGCAACAAGGAGCTTTTTGCTAAATGACCAGAGAGCAGCCTACTTGTTATTAGTAGTCAACCAATTGCTCAGTTTCTGGGTTTTGCAAACAATGCTAGTTTTGTAGAAAGCAATGAGTACTGCTTTACTTCTCCTTCCCGGCTAACCATGTGAATCATCACCTTCAAGTTTGCGTTTTAGAAATTTTTCTGATAGATGGTGAGATTATACTGAATTCATTAGTACTGTTAACTGTCAAAGGAAATGAACAGTCATTTTGATTTATTACTGAACATTGGAACAACTGACCGGATATAGTGGTCAAAAGTACTGTTAAAATATAGCTTGAAAGATTTGCTCATCTTCAGCCAACTGCACTCTTGTCAGCACATGATGTTATAATAGGCACCAAAGTAATTTGATCTGATACAGTTCTTTGCTTCTCAAAATGTGGACAAACATTATAGCCATATCAAGTCAGCAGTTGGTGATTGCCCATATGTGCCCAACACTGTATTGTATGCTCTAGGATGATTGAAAAGCCAATGAAAGCCACATGGAAAGTGTTCCAGTTGTGTAGATTGCATAGCATGGTATACTCGGACATGGAATTGGAAGACTTAATTCTAAATCCTAGCTCTGCCACTTACTTGCTGTGTAGACTTGGGCAAGTCACTTCACTCTTTCAGACTCATATCTCTCGACTACAAAATGTGAGAGTTGAATGCGAGCCTGCTCAAAGAGTGCAAAGCAGTTTGCTCGGCACATGTAAGGCACTCAGGAGATGTTGGTTGCATGCAAAGTCTGAAAATCACTCCATGGTGGTACCTTTTCTTAAAGTGTGCAGACTAACCCCATGTAACTTAGAAAACAAATCACTCATTTGGTGCTTAGCCCATGTCACATTGCTGGCTGTCATCTTTTTCTGTGTCTGTCTTGCCTTCTGAAGTAGAACTCCCCATGATCCCTGCTACTGCTTAGCAGCCTGTGTGTATATCTTCAGTAACATCTAACACACTGTAATAGTCAGTGTACTTGTCTGTGCTAGACTGTAGGGTTCTTGAGGGCAGACACCATGTCCTTTTTCCATTTTCAGGCCCTGGCGTATGGTAGGTACTCAGATATTTGTTGAATGAATTCATTGAATTGATGAAAATGCACGACCAAGCCACAAGCAGTGGTTTATCCTGTCTCCCAGTATCTTGTAAATGTTAGGAGGTTGATAAATTGGGGACAGTAATTATAAAAACTGAAGAATGAAGAGTAAAGGATTGATTACATCAGTTAAACATATATTTCTTGACACTTTCTGTTTTCTAGACTAAATGGTGCTGATGATACCAAAAATGACTAAGCAAATATCTTGCCCTCTGATAGTAGGGCAGGAGGCCATGTGAGCCAGTAATTAGGATATATTGCCATAAGTATAATAATAGAGAGATACAGAGTATAAAGGTAGCAAAAAAGAGGTTAGGACTTTTAGTTTTGAAATACTCAAATCTCTCTATTGAACAACAGCAAAGAGAAAGAGAAAGAGGGGGGTATTATAGGAAGGATATTGGATTATCTTACCCATTCATTTATTTCATAAATATTTCATTACCTCTTAAGTACTGAGTGCTGTTGTAGATGGTGGGGTCACAAGACAGATACATTCTTCCATAGTAAGGGCAGGGTTGTATCAGGAATCCTTGGAACCAGAGACATATGTTCTGTACTCCCTCCATCTTGAATCTTTTCTTATTTCCACATGATGGGCTTCATCCCTCTCCACTGCCATCTACCTTTTCCCACATGGGAAAGAACATGGCTGCTGGCAGACCCCAGGTTTTACATCATACAAGCTTTAGGCAGAGACACTGCCTTTTCCACAGCTTCAGGTATAGAAATTTCAGGGCAGGACCTTACTGACCTGGCTTTGGTCAGATGCCTACTTTCAGATCATCAGTTAAGGCCAGGGAATGGGATCATGATTTACTAACATGACAGCTACTACAGTGAACATGCTGATGGAGGTGAACCCAAACTTAGGAGAGGAAGGGCTGCTGGGAAGACATTTCCTTAGACATCCTTCATCAGGAGAGAGAGCCTAACACTGAAGAGAGGGTCAAGGAAGGGGTATTAATTATATACTGCTGTGTAACAAATTACCCCAAAACTTAGTGGCTTAAAGCAACATGATTTCTGTGGGTCAGGAATTCAGGAGATGCTTAGCTTGATGGTTCTGACTCAGGATCTCTCAGGAGATTGTAGTCAATACGTTGGCCAGAACTGCAGTCGCCTGAAGATTTACTTGTCTGGGGCTGGAGATTCCCCTTCTAGGACAGCTCACTCTCGTGTTGTTGGCAGGATGCTTCATTTCCTTCCATGGGGACCTCTCTATACAGCTGCTTGAATGTCCTCATGACATGACAGCGGCCTCCCCCAGAACAAGTGATTGGAGAGAAAGAGAAAGGTGGATGCAGCAATGTTTGCTTTTTTATTTTAATTTTTAAAGAAGATTTTGTTTGTTTATTTGGGAGAGAGCATGAGAGGGGAGAGGGTCAGAGGGAGAAGCAGACTCCCTGCTTCTCCAGGATCATGACCTGAGCTGAAGGCAGTCACTTAACCGAGCCACCCAGGCGCAGTGCAGCAATGTTTATTAAGCAGAATTTTTGAGATATAATTTACATAAAATCCACTTGTTTTAATTGTACAATTTAGTGAATTTTTAGTGTATTTATAGAGTTATACAACCATCACCACAATCTAATTTTAGAATGTTTCCATCACCCTAAAAAGAAACGTCTTGCCCATTTATATCAGCCACTCCACATTTTCACCACCCATCCCCAGCACTAGGCAACTGCTAGTTCTACTTTCTGTCTCTCTGTGCATTTGCCTAGGGACATTTCATATAATAGAATTTTACAATATGTAGCCTGAACATAGTGTTTTCAAGATTCATCCATGTTACAGCATGTATCTTCACTTCATTTTTTTTAAATTGACAGGTACTATTCCATTGTATGGATATGCCATATTTTGTTTATCTCTTCATTAGTTGACTGACATTTGGGTTATTTTCACCTTTTGGCTGTTGTGAATAATGCTGCTTTGTACATTAATGTATAAGTTTCTTGTGTGGATCTGTGTTTTTGTTTCTCTTGAGTACATTCCAAGAGTAAAATTACTGCATCACACCTTAAGTCTGTGTTTAACTTTGTAACTTTTCCAAAGTGGCTGTACCTTTATGGTCCCAGTCCCAGTGTACAAGAGCTCCAGTTTCTCTACATCCTTGTTAACATTCGTTGTTATCTTTTTGCTTGTAGCCATGCTAGTGAGTATGAGATGGTATCTCACTGTGGTTTTGATTTGTGTTCCCCTAATGACTAATGACGTTAAGTGTTTTTTTGTGTGCTTATTAGCCATTTGTGTATGTTTGGAGAAATGTCTGTTCAGATCCTTTGCCCATTTTTAATTGGT